CTACCACCAATTTCAGTCAAAGTCGACCTTTTTGCCATGGAAATGCCAAAAATATTTAATTCAGAATTCCAAAACTACCAAAAGGCACCAGTACACCACCAGATCCATGTATGTGCCAAGTTTGGGGAAGAAATATTGAACGGTTTTAGAGTTCTGCTCCGGAAAAGACAAATGTGCACGGACGGACGGACGGACGCACGCACGCACGCACGCACGGAGTCCATTTTAATACCCCCCGCAAAACGCGTTGCGGGGGATAAAAAAGTGTCTTGTAAACAAATTAACACAGGATATTATCACAAAATGGCCATAAGGATGTGTATAAGTGATGGATACGTTTGCCCTATACGTAAGTACGTCGCCCATAAGTACAGATATTTGGAAATGCAAAAAAAACAGCGTGAAAGTGCACTGTGTCTAAAGGGCTGACTGACGTGGAATGTGTCAACCTCACGTACTTGCTTTCAGGCATTTTGTTGAGGGGCAAGGACCTGTCCTCATGCTTTGAAGCACTGTTTCTTAGTTTATACTAAATTATTTATTGCCGGGCATGTATTTAACATAATTATATAGCTTTCTATGGCTATAAACAGCATATTCACCAAGATCCCCAAAGATATGTTGTAAATAATATACTGGCACTGTACCCCGAATCCCCTCTCTGCAGATTGAACACTGTGGACAGAAGAACCACACGAGTAGCAGCTTACCAGATGACCGCATGGCAGAAAGACAACCGCGGCATCACCGTCACAGCATGTCTTACACTGTTTGTAGTTCACAGATTTATATAGACAACCAAGAGGTAACCGTAATTGTACGTCTTGCACTGTATCAGTTTGTGGTGAATAATAATAATTTAAAAATTAAACGAGACTTACCTGTAAGTTGAAGTTTGATATAAATTCCACTGACCTATGAAGTACAGAGGGATCACATGAGATGTGCGCATGCGCGTAAGTATCAGTATTTAACTTGAAAATATGATTCTTGGGTACCAAGGGAAGGGATACAATGAGTGGGCATGTGATCCCTCTGTACTTCATAGGTCAGTGGAATTTATATCAAACTTCAACTTACAGGTAAGTCTCGTTTAATTTTTAAATTCCACTTGCCTATTCCGTACCTCGGAATCCCATGAGATATTTAGAGCAAGAAACATATTTTCTCCATTATACAATCAGAAGGATCACAAAAACCACGGTGCAAATCCAATTGTTTAATATACTGGACAAATGTCCCTAGAGAACTGCTAAGTAATTTCCATAGTAATAAAATGAAAACCATACTGTTATAAAATACATGTACATGTCATTGTCAACACTGTAAGGTTTTAGCAATAATGTCACTCTTATTATGATAAGTTTATCATCACTCATGGTGATTAGCATTAAACTCCAGTAGTGCTTGACCGAACTGTCCATCAGTGGCTATCGGTTTGTTGTAAAACTGTCTGAATACACAGTCACTGCTCCATCCTGCAGTTCTCAAGATTGTGCTCATTGGCACCCTCATACATGCAGCTGCACTAGTTGCAGCTGACCTTACACTACGGGGACTAAAAATACCCATGTTGATGCCAGCACATGTCATCACATGTTTTATCCATCTGCATATGGTGTCTTTGGTCACACGTTTATGTGGCTTATGAAAACTAATGAAGAGGGCAGTCTCATTACCCCTTAAACTATTTGTAACATGCAGGTAATTACCTAGTACTCTAACTATACACAACTTGGGATCTGAGAAGCCTGGTAAAGTTATCTCCCTTTGGTGATATGAAGGCCGAGACTGTTTCAGTAAGTCCCCAAATCTTAACTTCACACACTTCTCTGTGATATCAATGTTTCTACAGTCAAGTAGGTGTAGTGATTGCACTCGCTGTCCAGAGAGCAAAAGCAACATCATGGCAAGTTTATGAGTTAGAGATTTTAGTTCATTCTCGGGCACATCCTTCAAGTGTTGTAGAACTAGAGAAACATCCCATGTCACATTGTACTTGGGTAAAGCAGGTCTAAGGTGGAAGATCCCTTTCATAAAGCAGATACTAATTCATGCTGTCCAAAACTATTGTTGTCTATTTTCACAAGTGTTGACAAGGCTGAACGGGCTGTATTTATAGCGGAGTAGCTCAGGCCTTGTTGATATAGTCTCTCCAAAAAGTTAAGACCTTCTGCTAAAGATGGTGAAAGGGGATTAACACATCTCTCACTGCAAAACAACAGCCACTTTTTGATATAAGTCCTATACTGCTTGTGTGTGGAACTTTTCCATAATTGCAGTATGATGTTGATAACTGGCTCCTGAATGCCTTGACTTTCCAATATTTTCCTGATAAGCTGAATGCTGTTAGCTTCAGCTTCCCGTGCAATTGATGTACTGCTTCGGTGTTGTTGGGTAGTGTCAGAAGGGACTTGGACTTTGGTAGCAGCCTGGGACAGTCTGTTGATAATTCCAGTAGCTTGCTGAACCAGCACTGAGTTGGCCATAATGGAGCTATCATCAGGACATCGGTTTCCTTCAGCTTGACTTTCTGCAGCACTTTCCCAATGACACTGAATGGGCAGAAAATATAGTCATAACTAGATTTCCATGACAAAGTGAAAGCATCTACAGCTCGTGCACCCGGGTCAGGGAACCATGAAACATATTGTAGGTAGCTGGTTATTCAGTCTTGATGCAAATAAATCTCTACATGGAACTCCAAACACCCTAGTTAGTTTATAGAACACGTTATGATCTAACTTCCACTCTTTGTCATCAGTGACATTTCTCGAGTACCAATCAGCTTCACAGTTATCTGCCCCCGGCAAATGAGCTGCACTCAACCAGTTATTCCTTTGTTTGCACCACAACAACATTGTTCTTGCCATATCATTACAGCTGGGTTTAGTACCTCCCATATTGTTCACATAATCCACAGCCGTGGTATGGTCCATTTCAAGTCTTATGTGAGTATCATGAGCCCCACCACATAATGATTGCAATGTAAGGAGACCAGCATATATTTCAAGGAAGTTAATGTGTTTTCCACTTTCCTCATCTGACCAGAGCCCACCTGTCTTGTCTGGGCCACACACTTCTCGATGCTGCCTGTCCTCACCCACCAGTAGAGAGTCATCGATATACACAGTGTTTGAATACCCAAACTGTCTAATTGAAGAAAACACTGGTTTGAGCAATTTCGTGAAAATCCTCGGAGCTGATGAGAGCCCGTTTGGCATACATGTAAATTGAAAAAGCTCCCCATTCCAAAGAAATCTCAGATATTTCCTATCTTGTTCCTTGACAGAAATTGAGAAATATGCATCTTTGAGGTCTATGGATGCAAAATAGCAGTCCTTGTGCACTAGATTTAATGCTGTTCAGAAAGTATCCATCTTAAAATGAGGCGAATCAACAATGTCATTAGAGATTTGAGATTGAGAATAATTCACAAGGAGTTATCCTTCTTGGTCCTCGCAAATATGTTTGAAATGTACTCTCCTGATGTATGGGAACAAGGTTCAATAATACCTTTTTGTAACATGAAACCTATCTCCGATTCAATTTGCAGCATTTCTGTAAGATTAAACATTATTGGTTTAGGGGTATACCGCTGTGCAGGCACTTCAATCAAGTCTAAAGTATCCCCTGCAATGCTCAATAACACCCATTGATCGGAGGTAATCCCATACCAATTTGTCAAGAACTGACTGGTCTTGCCTGCTATATCATTCTTGGGGTTGTTCTGGCAGTGAAGGATACATGTTTTAGCTCTCACATCATGTATATTATCCCCTGTGGGGAGGTCTTCTGTCAGTTCCGAGGGTAGTTTGCTTAAAAAAGCATTGTGATGCTGGCCTCTACCTCTGCCTGCTGGTTTCCCTCTGTTGTGGGAAGGGGTACTCTTGCTGAAAGTCTCATGGGATTCCAAGGTACGGAATAGGGAAGTGGAATTTAAAAATTAAACGAGACTTACCTGTAAGTTGAAGTTTGATATAAATTCCACTGACCTATGAAGTACAGAGGGATCACATGCCCACCCATTGTATCCCTTCCCTTGGTACCCAAGAATCATATTTTCAAGTTAAATACTGATACTTACGCGCATGCGCACATCTCATGTGATCCCTCTGTACTTCATAGGTCAGTGGAATTTATATCAAACTTCAACTTACAGGTAAGTCTCGTTTAATTTTTAAATTATTATTATTCACCACAAACTGATACAGTGCAAGACGTACAATTACGGTTACCTCTTGGTTGTCTATATAAATCTGTGAACTACAAACAGTGTAAGACATGCTGTGACGGTGATGCCGCGGTTGTCTTTCTGCCATGCGGTCATCTGGTAAGCTGCTACTCGTGTGGTTCTTCTGTCCACAGTGTTCAATCTGCAGAGAGGGGATTCGGGGTACAGTGCCAGTATATTATTTACAACATATCTTTGGGGATCTTGGTGAATATGCTGTTTATAGCCATAGAAAGCTATATAATTATGTTAAATACATGCCTGGCAATAAATAATTTAGTATAAACTAAGAAACAGTGCTTCAAAGCACGAGGACAGGTCTTTGCCCCTCAACAAAATGCCTGAAAGCAAGTACGTGAGGTTGACTTATTCCATGTCAGTCAGCCCTTTAGACACAGTGCACTTTCACGCTGTTTTTTTTGCATTCCCAAATATCTGTACTTAATGGGCGATGTACTTACGTATAGGGCAAACGTATCCATCACTTATACATATCCTTATGGCCATTTTGTGTGATAATATCCTGTGTTAATTTGTTTACAAGACACTTTTTTACTTTTATAGTGTCATTTACGATAAATTCCACTGACCTATGAAGTACAGAGGGATCACATGCCCACCCAATCCTGTCTGTGCGATGATATTAATGTGGTTGAAATGGGTGGGGGGAGGGGTGTACATGGGGCACTTTAGAACTGATGACGCTGGCAGCTAACAAGATGTCCACACAGCACAGCCAACGGATCGCCGTTGTTGCACGTCTTGCTCTGTTTTTATGTTCGTTGTATTTTATTATTTTTCTCTTTTTTCGGGTTCAGTGATATTAATGAAATTGGAATACAGCAAGCACCAGTCACTCACATTACCATTTAGACCTTCAAAGATACGTTATGAGTAATACACTGGAACTAAACCATGAATTCTCGAGTGGCAGTTTGGACACTCCCGAATTGTGGCTGCACACGAGTAGCAGCGAACCAAATGACGACATGGCAGGAAGGCTACTGAGTCTTCATTACTGCACTTCTTGCACAGCTTCATCTGGCGGAGTCTCCGATTCTCAGCGGACAGTTGTGGACTTGGCCTAGGTATTTGAATGGAAGTTGCTCTGTTTCTGGCCGCTTCTTTCCGCTTATCAACACCTGCAATAAAACCTGCAACAGTCTTATAATTCCTTCCAGTTTTAATGATATGGAGTTGCATCTCCTCGAGAATTGTTTCAAGGTCATATGCATCTAATAGCTCCTTCACAAGCGGAAGAGACGTGTTGACATCATCCAGTTTTGCTTGAAGATCTGGATCTTTGATTAGACTTGCTCGCGCAGTCTGTCGAATGGATCTTCTGCCAGCAAGTGACCAATTGGCATGTTCCGAGATGCCAAGTCTCTGGAAGTTTGATGTGTTCCTGATGTAGCCACAACAGGGATTAAACATTAGATGCACATGGAACGGGTCATCCTCGCGGCCCCAGTCACGGAGTCCCACTCCGCAGTAGAAGCACCGCGTCAGGTCACCCTCAAGAAGAAAGCCTGCCGCCGCCAGCAGGTTAGGTGAAATTTGCAGTGGTGTCGTGGAAAATGTTGCCAGCCTTTGGTACTGAGTTTGGTACTGAGCTGTAACAGGTTTCTTCATGTCCTGTTCCAACTGTATGATAAAGGCACAATTTGGGAAGAGTTTCTGGTGTTCAGCAAAGGGGTCGTCTCCTTTTGACCAGTTGTACAATCCCCCGCAGACATCACATTGCACTTTGTAACCAGGGCCTGAAATACAAAAGAACGTGTTTATAATGACAGATGTTACTATTTTCAGACGAGTTATATGACGTTATGAAAATTCATTTGTTGAAATGCTGTCTCACACTCCAACCAGCAAGCCCAAAGATAATAGGAACACATTCAGGAGAAATAGTTTTGCCTCGACCCGCCACCAGCAGCTTACCAAAACAGACAGAACATTCGACCGTGAATTTGTATCGGAAATAAAAAGTTCACACAAATGCAGCTTATAAGTTGATTCTTTCCTAGAACCCGTATCAGGGCTGTCATTTTGAATAGCGTATCTCGTGTTTTCAATTGTTCCAAACAAACAAAATAATAGAATTTAAGTATTGCTATTTGATCTCTGCCTAACCCCAAAACATCGAGAGAAAAACACAACATTGGATTACAGATGAATGCGTAAGAATGCACTCCGAAAATTCATGTTTCTCATAATACAGAGCGTCCATAACTTTCCACCTTCAAGTGCATCCCTTCTAAGTGCCATCCAAAGATTCCTCTTAGAAGTCATTAATATAATGAATATAGGAGCGTTTTTAACGGACAACTTGTAACGCCTCTATACTCCTCTTATCCCCCTCTTATCCCCAAGAAGAAGTATCACTGAAACTTCGTTAAAAAATATGTTTTTATCTCAAAAATTGTACACGAAGAATTGTTTCCATTTATAGACTCGATGTAAAATGTGACACGAGCTCCTACATTCCATAATAAACAATCAGAAATGAACTACTCAGTTTAATGTGTTTAGGATAACGCAAAGGAATGAAATATACGTACCAATGAACTGGAATCCAGCTCGTGCAAGAGCATGCTCGCTGACAGCTTGGCTCCTCCATTCCTGAAATGTCTCCAGCCGCCGTTTGAATTCCGGAGACTCATTGTTCATCTGAAGATGATTACTTTCCTCCATCTCTTTAGGAAGAAGGTTTGTGACAAATACGAAGTGCTTTGGAAGTGCCTCGCCGGTTTGATAAATTGAAACCTTTTTTTTCCAGTTTTTACTGGGCATGCGCAAGATTGAAGGAAAACGGGAAGTGTTTTTCAACTGGAAAACCCGACCCCCTGGTCTATATATAGACCCACGTCAGTATGAGCAGCCATCTCAGTGACAAAATATAATAACTGTAATTCGTTGAACAACGTTTAATTCAAAGCAGCATATTAATTTCATACACAGATAATCACAATAATATACAAACTCACAATGATGAAACATACTCACACAGCATTGGGAAGGAGATGTTCATCAACCAATCACAAGGCCGTCCACCATGGTTGGCTCAAAACACTGCTAGCTGGAGTCTAGGAATCACAGCGTACAATGTACAGTATTAACAAACATTGCCACCGAATGACAAATATGTTAACGTTGAACGAAGAAGAAGAAACATGGCTATTGATTGGCAGCTGAGAGAGGATAGACCAATGGAAAGCTAGTCACGTGTTCAAATGGCTTCTCTTTGGTGGCCAGGCGACATTGCCCATATATTACAGCTTGTTCAGCTTGACCTGAGCTACTCTATATATGCATGACCCGGGAGGTCAATTGGCACAAATGGCAGGTCGAGTTAACTTCATTACATAGGGGAGCAGAGAATGTTAAACAGCGACCTTGTCTCGGCTGTTCGGACATGTTGATGATCAACTGACAAAGGTGCACCCCTTCACAATAATAGACCCAACCAGTTCTGACACGGTCACGCAATGCATTAGTATTCAGTTGATCAGGTCAAGCTGAACAAGCTATTGTCTGTTGAGGTAGTGTTCAAAGTAGAAATATCAAATCTGCCAGTCAAGTGGTTTTATAACCATAGTCAAAACTGTATAACTCCCATGCGGAAAGACTTCCGCCCGTATACCCTTAAATTTTATTCTAGTCCAATCATATCACCAGAATATATATATTCCTCATCTGATAAGGATGAGTTTTAACATGTTCCTTGAATCTGAACATATCCAAAGACATATCCAACTTCTAAAAAAAGCCGCCCAAAGATTTTTTTTTCCTCACCGTTAGGGGGATATGGGTGGAAGTCTTACCTGGCATGCACTAAATAACATGGCACATTTGCTTCCTAAAATTGTACAGCTCACTGATGATAGTAAAATGAGAGAGCCACGCCACCTGACGATGGTGCCATTATTTTGATTGGTCAGTTTTACCTGCCTCGATGACGTCACGCTAAAAATAGATATGGTTGTCTTTAACACAGCTCTAGTTGAACTTGACAATGCCTGGTGTTTAATTTCCCTCTATGTACAGTCTCACCACGTTAACGTGCTCGTGTATGCTTATGGGCTATGAAGCTCGAGGTCACCAGCAAATTGGTTCAACACTATAGGTACACACCTCTCCCGCCTTGCGCTTGCTTGCTTCTTTGTACACAGTGGCTATAGGGCTAGTGTGTTTACAAAATTATCGTTCGGTCAAGTTTTGATTTATTTATATCGCATAAAGTGAGTTCATCTAACCTATAGAAGCATCAACAATTACTGAGGTTGCAATTAGTTAAAAATGGATTCACTATTATTACAACACAAATGTGGTGTAGCTAAATTTTAAAAAGTAGGTCGCACTAGCCAGTTTGAATTCGAAATCGACGAGCGATTGTCAGGTTTGCACAGGCTGAGACATAATGAAAATGACTGTGTCAGCACCCAAGCCATATCTTTTTCAACTACCCTTTCACTTAGTGCCAGCTCACTTTGCTTTGTCATCAGTCCACGATAAACCAAGCTGTAATACACATACAGGAATATGACTTCCATACTCAAACACAAAAATTATTAAACATTGAGAATATTTTACGTAAACTCAGTGTATACCGCAAGCCGATATACAGAGAGATTGTGAATTGCTGAGGCGTAAATCCCTCGCACCCTGTGTTGAATTGTATGGTTGGTAGATGGGTGCGCCAACGTATCATAAACAAACCCTCTGAATTGCTATGATAGCGTGTGATCTAGATATCTCTCTCAGCAACGCATTCCACTGGCTCCACAGCACGGGGCTTTGAGTAACGGTTGGCCGAGTTAATGATAAAGGGTGATTCACTGACCCATTTAAGGTGACTAGGCTTACGCAATGAATGAATGCCACCAACAGGTTGTATGTACAGGGCCCAAATGTCATTGGACACTTCATTGATTGTTTGTTGAAAGAGGAAAAGGCTATTCAAGAAAAATTGAGTGAACGTGTGACTAGTTTCCTATAGATATGACAGAGGCTGATGAGGCTTTGCATATCAGTCAGCTGATACATGTCATATCTGTCATAAAGCTTTGGATAAAATTCGGTCAAAGTGAGGGATCATGATCATTTGAAGAAAACTCTCAATTACCGAGGTGCCGCCCATCAAACCTGTAATCTTCAGCTCACGTTTAAAAAGAGTAAACAGAAGAAAAGTCACGATAAGGGTCAAGAGAAGGAGGAATTCTACTTGCCCGTCATCTTTCATAATTTAACTAATGATGATTCTCACCTGTTGGTAAACTTGAAATGTTTAGGCGTAAAGTATTGCTGCTGCTGCTGCTGCTGGAAATATTGCTGCTGCTGCTGGGAACATATCTCTAAACTCTTCAAACACATCGGCCAAAAGTAAAACATCAGTTTTCATGTACAAATCATGGTACTCTCCCATATTTTGTATATGAAATTTGGACCATACTTGCTGGGCATGAACATAATCTTCATCGGATAACGAATTCTCCAGTCAATCTATTGTAAAAATTCATTTTGTTTTGGAAGATTGTTCAGCATGATTCTGTCTACGGAAACAACAAACAAAAGCACACACAAGCTACAGAAACATTGTAATATATTCGTGCTGGACTCAATATCAAGATACATATACCATATTTTAAAATATAGCCATTCTATTAATAGCTGTTTTAGGGTATTCCCCTTGGTGTTATAATTAGACGGGGAATCCAAAGTTGAGACCATCAGTTATAGTCCGTTTGGTTCAAAAGAGCTAATAAACATAAAATACTCAATGAAACGCTGATCATAATCAAAACATCATACCCACTCTGTGAGGTTTTTGCAGAATTTTTGTCTTAAAAATAAATAAGTTGTTTAACAAACTATCATTAAAATATTGACACAGTTCACTATTTGTTACGAGGGAGGAGTGCAGAGACACCCGGCAATAAAACCCGCAACAGTCTGGCAATTCCTTCCAGTTTTAATGATATGGAGCTGTATCTCCTCGAGAATTGTTTCAAGTCCGCAGCACCTATTAGCTCCTTCTGGCAAGCGGAAGAGACGCGGTTTGCCATCATCCAGTTTCCTTTGCTTTGAAGATCTGATCTTTGATTAGGACTTTGCTCGCAGAGTCTGTCGTATCGATCTTCTGCCAGGCAAGTGACCAATTGGTATGTTCCGAGATGCCAAGTCTCTGAAAAGTTTGATGCGTTCCCTGATAAAGCCACAACAGGGATTAAACATTAGATGCAATATGGAACGTGGCTCATCCCTTCGCTGCCCCAGTCAATGGAGTCCCACTCAAGAGTAGAAGCACCGGCCAGGTCACCCCTCAAGAAGAAAGCCTACGCAGCCAGGTGGTTAGGTGAAGGTGGCAGTCGCGGGAAAAATGTTGCCAGCCTTTAAAAACTGAGTTTTGGTACTCTGAGCGTAACAGGTGCTCTTCCTAGGTCCTGTTCCAACTGTATGATACAAGGCAATTTGGGAAGAGTTTCTGGTAGTTCCCAGCAAAAGGGTCGTCTCCTTTGAATCAGTTGCACAACTCCCCGCAGACATCACATTGCACTTTGTAACCAGGGGCCCGAAATACAAAAAGAACGTGTTTAGCAATTTACAGATGTTACCATTTTCAGACGCAGAGTTATATAGGACGTTGCGAAAATTCATTTGTTGCATTGAAATGCTGTCTCACACTCCAAACCAGCAAGCCCAAAAGATAACAGGGAACCATTCAGGGAGAAATAGTTTGCCTGACCCGCTAATTCACCAGCAGCTTACCAAAACAGACAGAACATTCAATCGCGAATTTGTATCGAAATTGAAAAAGTTCACAATAAATGCAGCCTTATAAGCTGATTCTTTCCTGAACCCGTATCAGGCTTTGCTTCATTCGGAAATAGCGTAATCTCGTGTAGTTTCAATTGTTCCAAACAAACAAAATAATAGAATTTAAAGCCAGTTACCTGATCTCCTGCCTCCAACTCCAAAACATCGAGAGAAAAACACAACATTGGATTACAGATGAAGGCGTAAGAATGCACTCGAAAATTCATGTTTCTCATAATACAGAGCGTCCATAATCTTTCCACCTTCAAGTGCATCCTTCTAAAGTGCCATCCAAAGATTCCTCTTAGAAGTCATAAATATAATGAATATAGCAGCGTTTTAACGGACAACTTGTAACGCCTCTATACTCCTCTAATCCCCTCTTATCCCAAGAAGAAGTATCACTGAAACTTCGTTAAAAATATGTTTTATCTCAAAAATGTGTACACGAAGAATTGTTTCCATTTATAGACTCTTTCGATGTAAAATGTGACACGAGCTCCTACATTCCATAATAAACAATCAGAAATGAACTACTCAGTTTAATGTGTTTAGGATAACGCAAAGGAATGAAATATACGTACCAATGAACTGGAATCCAGCTCGTGCAAGAGCATGCTCGCTGACAGCTTGGCTCCTCCATTCCTGAAATGTCTCAAGCCGCCGTTTGAATTCCGGAGACTCATTGTTCATCTGAAGATGATTACTTGAATACTTTCCTCCATCTCTTTGGAAGAAGGTTTGTGACAAATACGTGGTGCAAGTGAGGTCGCCTTCGCCGGTTGGCAGAAACACGTAGCGCGCCTCTTTATAGTTGAAGTCTTTTTTTTGCAGTTTTACTGGGCATGCGCAAGATTGAGAGGAAACGGGAAGTGTTTTTCAACTGGAAAACCCGACCCCTGGTCTATATATAGACCCACGTCACTATGAGCAGCCATCTCAGTGACAAAATATAATAACTGTAATTCGTTGAACAACGTTTAATTCAAAAGCAGCATATTAATTTCACACAGATAATCACAATAATATACAAACTCACAATGATGAAACATACTCACACAGCATTGGGAAGGAGATGTTCATCAACCAATAACAAAGCCAAAACACCATGGTTGGCTCAAAACACTGCTAGCTGGAGTCTAAGGAATAACTTGAGCGATGGATTTTCAGAAATGTGCCTACAGTTCCTAGCTCCTAAATAACGTATAATGTACAGTATTAAATAAACATTGCCACTGAAATGACAAATATGTTAACGTCTGAACGAAGAAGAAAAC